TTTAGCACCAAGTAGAGTGGTTATTCTGCAACCTTCTACAATGCTAGCTGTTTCTAGCAGTTAGAACTTTAATTAGGGAGCTTCCTGCAGCTATCAACTTGTCCATAAATATGTTGGAGGATACGTACTAAAAAAATCCTGATGGCAGGAGGCTGTTTTCAGCTTATTACAGTATCTTATCTGTACAGATCTTGAGGCATCCTTGCTGAGCAATTTGCTAGCAACCAGTTGCACTGAAATTCTGTATAGAAAAATCTAGAAGGTAATAGACAATTAATCTCTGATTCAAAGATAAGGGGTAAGTAAGGTTAAATACTTTGTACTCCAAAGAAATACTTTCACAATTTTCTAGCAAATCACATTTAAACAGCAGATCCTCTCCATGAACAGTACAAACACCACGCAAAACGAGGTAGGGTTTGACAAGACTCCCTACACATGCTAGAATGGGAAATGAAGCCAAAGACGTTAGCTCCAACACCTGCAGTTCGGAGAGTCTTTCAAAGACCAAAAAGCTTTTTCTTGACCTACAGAATCTTTCAGATTCTCACCGAGCTTTCATAAGCCAGTTTTTATTAGAAGGAAACTTCAATATTATGTGGTGTTCAAGCTTGGATTAAGGTTGCCACAACATCAGCAGAGAACTAGAAAAAGGCAGGGGAAAAAATACACTGGAAGGCATCCCTTAATATAAAGGATAGATGCCAGACTTACATTTCTTAGATATTCCACAGGCTCAGGAAGTATAGGAAATATCAAGAGCTCAGAAGTGTCCAGTGAAGGAAAAAAACTCACTCACTGTGCAAGACAAGCTTATATTTCACTAGTCCAAGGCTAACCAAGGGATTTAGCTTGTTATTACCTCCAGTGCTAGATAAATACCAGGTCTGCTTGCCTTGGCTACAGGCAGAAAAGTCACTGTTGGAATCCAGACTTTTGCTGCACCACCCTAAAGCACCAACATTTTAACAGCAGAAACCAGTCACTGAGTCAGCTATGACAAAAGAAACTGGTACCAAGAATAAAACTGCATCTTACATGTGCATTAGCACTCCCTTATATCCCACATCTCAGCTGTGGGTATCTGTGAGAAGGGGGCAAAGCCTCAATTGCCAAATACAACATTTAGACCCCATTTCACTGGTCAAAAGTGCAGTGCGTTAGAAAACTGCCTGAATTCAGGAGGGAACAACCAGTACTCAGTTTTCTGATTGGAAAACAGACTTTGAAAAAGCCTTTCCTCTGTGTGAGGTGAAAAAATCTGCAAGTAGAAGCACCAGGGGTAACCTGGGCAAGCACTTGACTTGAGGGGTATCTCCTGGTCACAAAATTCACAGCCAGGTGATGGGCTGGAAAGAGATTAAATATTTGGTATCAGGATTTCGGTTCTTCAGACACTGAACCCACCAAGCTTGTCAGAGAAATAAACGCAGAAAGACTTAAAAATGGGTTCAGAAATTTTTAATAAAAACTGAACCTTTACTCTGTTGCACGATGAACCACTGTTTGCAAGAATTATTCTACCCTTTATTTCTCAAGTCCGTATGAGGTGTCTTGGTCTAGATCTGCTTTTAAACCAGGAAGAAAAGTCTCCTTTCAGAAAGCAGAAGCAAGCATGAAATGTTAGGCCTTTGTAACAGTTTTATAAAGTGTACTTCTCAAAGCAATGTAAGTGGTGGTGAAGCACACTTGAAAGACCATTTCTAGTCGTACATAATCCCCTTAAGACAAGGGAAGGCTCCCCACAGAAAATATAGCTAAGAGTTTAACCCAGCTCTAGGGGGTTACAGTTTTTTATGCTGATAGAAATCAGCAATATCAAGCAATGGCCATCTCCAGATTGAACTCCCCCTCCTCACCAGCGGGTAGAGAGGCCTGTCTCCAAACACAGCTCATCCGGCATCATCCAAGCATCTTTGGAAGTCAAGACCTAAGAGCGTGATCCAAGATTGTTTGGTATTTACATTCTCTGCCTTTAAAGAATCCAGCTATATTTAAACAAATGTATTACTGCAGAAATCACAAAACTTTTTGTGCTGTTTTAAGGTAGAAAAAGTCTAGTCTATTGAGGTTTTATACATGAATTCCAAGCCCCTATCATAATTATGAACTAAATGTGTTAACAGTCATTATTTCAGAACTAAACTACCTCCAACTAAGTATTATGGTCTGCTAGGTTTTGTTCGAGATACTTCACTTGGCAGTCAGCAGCTGAAAGTATTTCTGTAACTGTCAGCCCATGACATTATAAAAACAGTATCTGAAGCTGGAAATAGTTTGTGCAAGAGAACAGTCTAATCCCCAAATAAACCTGTTCTTATAAATATCCTATTTAAACCTAAAGGAGGCATTTACAAAGCCTCTAAGGTAAAAATACCCTCAGTTTCTCTACAAGTAAGACTTCATACCCATATCAGTGAAGAAATATACATACCACCAGCCTAAATTTACCATGCTCCCACTAAAGTATCTCATGCATATTATATAAAAGTCCCCAAGACTTTATTTTGCCTTGAGGCTTGTGCTGGGACTCTTAAGGAGAATACAAAAGTGAAGATTAATTGGCTTTATGATGGTGATAGCTGCTTCGCAACATCAGTTAGCAAAGGCACCTACTTGCTTATTGGTATTTTCCTTAAAATAAGAATTAGATGCAAGGGCACATAACTGACGGCATTTAGCACAGAGCCCTAAGCTGTAGGGTATTAACAGTGATGGTAACATGTACATCCCCATGAAAAACTCAAATATCATCACTATTAATGTACTATTATTACTAAACTCTATAGGCTCAGAGTGGATGGGTTAGGCAGGTCTCCCCTAAACCTCCTGCTCCCAAAACACACAGGTAATAAACCCCCTCCCATTTCCCTTCAGGTTTACTCAGAAGGGTTTCAGACATCTGGTTCACTTGTTTAAAATAAAAAAATCCAACTAGTAGGTTTGTTTTTCATCCTAGAGCTTGGAATGTTCTTGCTGGAGGCCTCAGGCCAGGTGAAGAACATTTGTGCTAAGATGCTACTTCATGGCATTGCAGGGATGTAATGAGCTGTGTAACCTGCGCATAGGGAAGTCTCCTTAACATCAGTTTGTGACTACTATGGAATTCAAGAACAAGGAGCCTATGGCTGCCCAAGTATTTTTCAGCAAGTAGTACAGCTGGAGACTTAAGATACTGTTAAATTTAGAAGCACTCATGTGTCTATAGGCACTGAAGTGTAAGTAGTTAGCAGCGTTCTGCAAACAGAGGTACATTCCCCTCATTGGCCTAATGCTTCAGATTAAACTGGGTACAGCATTTTGTCTAGAGGGAAATGTTGATTTTCATGTAGGAAGAAAAGTTTCAATCTTTGAGGCCTCAAAATTATAACTCCCAGAAGACTGTTGTGTAATTGTACTGAATGAGCATATATATAAAAATGCAATGTATATTCTTGTTTTAGTATCTTAGGACAGATGCACTATTTACATATTTTTATATAAAACCCGGAAGGAATCTAACAAAAGAAAGCAAATTACAGGAAGATCTATGCAAAAGTAAAATACTTTACAGGCTTGCATACAGTAGTTAAAGCTTTCTGCTATATCATCTATCTTGAAAACGTATGGAAGTGCACTCAACAGATATGAGGTATCATGCTTAACAGACAAGGCAAGTTCCCTTTCATGACCCAAACTGATTTCCAATCGTAGCTGGACATCTGTAATCTGTTACTCAAAAAACATAAAAAATAATAATCATCTGGCAGGCAAAAAACACTGCAGGAGATGCACAAAGATCAAATTTAAACAAACCATCCTAGTTACATGATCCATTAGAACTCAAATTTTAAGAAGCCCACGTAGCTTTTGCGTATAAGGCATTCTTTTATAACGCAGGAGTTCTCAGTCACCACACTATGAACACCAAAAAGTAAAACCAAAGGGTAATTTGAACAAATTGTCATCAAGGCCCCTTAGTGACTCATCTTTGCTGCTCTAAACTACACTTCACCTCAGCTTTGTGCATGTTGGTTTTCAACTTTTTTGCACATCTCTAGAAGCTTTCTAATGGTGAGATCTTCAAGGAGGTCCACATTACACATATGCTGCTGTATCACACAAATCTATTTCTTTTTTTGACCCCCTTCATAAGCCCTCCAGAACAAATCAAATATGTTCAAAGCATGAGCAGACCAAAATCCAAAAACCATAGCCATAACAGAACAGAAAACAAAGTATATACGTTGATATTATGTGCCCTTTTAGTTCTGAATGTCAATACAGACATCCCTCTTACCAAACTTAAGATATTTCAATGAAAAATAAATTCATCTGAGCTATGTAGCTGAAGACTTGCTAGTTCATTATACCGTTCCAAAAGCAGGATAACTGCTTTCTTTGTCTATGCCTTCAGCCTTTAAGAGCACACTGAACAGCTGGATTCAGGAAATGCTATGCAAGGGGTCAAGACACAAACTATGGGTGCAGAATTGCCTAGGTATTTCGGAAAAACATTTGCAACGACTACACGAACTGAAAGAAATACCATGAGACAAACGAAGACAAGAGAAGACAGTTATGGGCAGGGAGAAGTAGTTCAAGATGAAGTTCATTTCAAATATATTTATTTTTAAGTACTAGAATAAGGCATTTTCAGACCTTCTGGCTTGATGAAAGATCGGTGTTTTCATTGTGCACTACCTCAGCACTGTCAGATGTTTAATGAATGAGTCACTAATTCTACAAGCATTGAATCCACTTTAGCATGTGAATCTAAGTCATCCCTAAGACTATACATCGTGGGGTTGTTCTCACAAGGTGGTACATAAAGCCTCAAAGCAAAAAGAAATCATCCTGCCCTGGAAGCAAGTGAACACAAGGTGCTAATTAAGACAGGTACATTATGGATTGCATTTCAGTTTGCAAAAGCAGAATAACTGATTTTCAGTTGAGTCAAAAATGCAAGGTGGTCACCTCCGTAAATAGGGGTGAGAGCTGTTGTTTTAATCTTCACTGACCTCAACAGAAGTTGGGCAGCTTTGAATGGCAGGAGTCACTTGGCTACTAAGTCAAAAACATACATCTGCACGCCACATACTGCAAGAGAAGACAGAACTGTGAGTGTTCAGAAGGGAAATCTGTATCCTCCCACTTGGGCAATTATGTTTACCCATCACTACTCTGACATGATCAGCTTTTGTCAACCAATTTGAAGGACAAAACAGTATAGATTTATGTGATAAAGCTAACAGTAAAATGCAAGCTTCTCCTTTCAGCTCATCACCTGAAAACTCTTAATCTTTCAAATGTGCTTTCAACACTGCTAAAAGAATATGCTTTATTTAGACAGAGTTTAAAATAAGTCTCCCAAATTACATCTGGGATTTGACATCTCCAGTCACACCAAGATTTAGGAATCGTAGCCTGTATGAAGCAGTAACATGTTTGCTGAAAAGTCAAACCACTGACTTAAGGAAGTCACTATCTGAGCATGTGGACTCAGGGCTGTCGAAAGCTGGTTATCATCACAGCTGCAGCCTTTTCTGCAGGTGCAAAAAGTGTTTTCTTCGTTTCAGTTTGGCTCTGTTTAATAGTTGGTTCAATATCTGGTTCATAATTTAGAAACAGATATGGATTTATTTGATCTTCTCAGACCTCACATTCAACTGAGAAGTGAGGGAGTAGAAACGAAGGTTTCCTCCATCTGCTTAGTAGTTCCAAAGCTTCATGGAAGCAGTGATCACAGACAGTTGGGATCATTAGGGTCAAATATCACTTTGCTTTCATTTAAGTTCATTTGAAATACAAATACTGTTTGGAATACATTTTCAGTTAATCTAGATCATTCAATATATTTTTAATTTAATAAAGCCTTTGATTAGCAGCAGGTACATTAAGTTTAGTCTCAGGTCCCACCCAAAGCAACTAAAGCTTTACTTATGCTTTATGTTAAAAAGTAGTGAATCTTAATTGATTTACTTAGATGCAAAGACTCTAATCAAGAAATCCCTGGCAGCTGGATGCATCTAGCTAAACAAACACCAAAACTGAAGACTAAAAGCAGAACGCCCATCGTTTCTTTTGATTAATAATAGAGCTTAGAACAATGAATTTAGCTATAGGTGTCAGCGGCCAAGCAAAGGAATCCCATCCCAGGCATCCAACCTGCGACCAGGAACTGCATCCTATTCCACAGCAGCCACCACCTTCTCAGGAGGACTGGGGGCTATTTCTCAGTCCTACCATCCCATCCCACAGATAAAAGGGAATGATAGGAATGAAAAGTGAATGATGTGAAGCTTTTATCTTAAGAGCTTACTTTTATCTTAAGAGCTTGAAGAGCTACTGTACAATTCCTTAAAAAGAGAGATATGCATTGTTGGCATTACAAGCTAACAAGAAGTCTTTTAAAAAAGTGTTAAAAAAAGCAACTATACCTCCTTTCATAGCAAAATGCAAAGGTGTGTTTAGCGCTGATGTTACAACCCATGCTCAATACACATTTTGATCACTCATATCACCCCAATTCACCAGTTCTAAGATGTGGCCTTACTTTCTTGGGAACGTACTATGGGTAAAAAGGACTAAAGCAATCTTGCCTACAACCCTCGTAAGCAGCATGAGGCAATTTTGGAGGAGGATTATCACACTTTGAACTCCTACTGAATTGAAGATTGCAGCATGATTTTAAAACAGATGTCAACCTCCTTAGCACACATAACGAAATGGTTGTAAGAGTGGTTGTAAGACAAGTTATTACAACTTTTAGCCAGTTGTGTCAAAATTGGAAAGGAACTGGTTCTAGATGTACTGCAGTGCTTGAATATATCTGTGATATACTGGTGATGAGGTTGAACTGCTGCGTATAAAGGCACTGTAGGCAGCACTGTGAGCAAGGTGAGACGGAGGAAGTTACCAGCAGGGAGGCAAATGCTTTGGGACTGGATACAGACAGAGGCTGGAAGAGCAACAGGTGAGAAGTATTTACACACGGAGACAGGCTCAAGGCCCCTCTCTGTGAATGGCAAGATTTCTCTGTGAATCACCTTGTGATGCTGTGAGGTAGGGAAGAAATCAGGAAAAGCAAGTTTTCGGGAGAAGGTTGCTACTACAGCAGTTTCAGCAAATAAATAAGCACCCTCCAAAAAAAAAAAAAAAGAATGTTTTATTTCCATATCTAGATTGCAACGCAAAAGGAATTTCAATTACAAGGGAGAACTTAAAATAACCCTAACTTTAGAGTAACTACTTTAGAGTTTTTCCATAACACCTGGAATTATTTGCCAGATACCAGATGCTGGCTGCTATATCTTACATTTAAATACAGTCAGGAATGTTCTTTAATCTTCTGGAAATTTATTTTGGAAGCTAAGCCTGCCTTCAGAACAAGCACAAAGTGAAAATTCACTCTGACTGTCTCTAGCTCTGCACTTTCCAGCAGAATTCTGTGAAAAAAGATGCACATGAACTACCGTAAACATTAAATATAACAAGGAGATGAGCAACACCCAGCAGGTTCATTGGGAATCATGCATCAAATGAGACCTTTGCTCTGATATTAGAGTAATAGGCTTTACAGATAGGATAGACAGAAGCTACTAAGTTCATGTGTCTGGACTTGCAAAAGACTTCTGCATTCACTATAGACTGCTTTGCTTGCATCAAAACTTTTTTTGAAGAGCTGTACAAATAGAGCAGTTACCAAGGGCTCAGTAGCACGGGAGAATGCACTGAACAGGAGCCCAGTTCAGTTCACTGATTTCATTACCAGCAACAGATGGTGGGAAACAGAGTCTGCTTGTCATACAGGAGACAAAGGTAGGAAGGGCTGTGAGACAAAATGAACTTCGGGGAAATTTGCTCTGAATAGGATTCAGTTCAATAGGGACAGGTACAGAGTACTCAGGTGGGAATAACTGAGCAAGTAGCAAGATGAGTCCTTAAGAAAAAAGCTGTAGGCTACATTGGATCAACAAGTCGGTCCTGAAGCAAGTGTTAAGCTGTTGTAAAGAAGTCAAATGCAGGGAGATGCATAAACAAGAATGTCAGCTCCAGGGCACGTGAAATGGTTTCTCTACTCCACTCAACACAGGAAAGTCTCAGCTGCAAGACAAAGATGGGCTTTAAGAACCACACTTAAAGCCCAATGTGAACTAACTACAGAGTCTGGAAAAGAACAAGAATGATTAGAGCTGCAAAACCCATGACCTCCCAGAAAGAGCTGAATACACTACGTTTATTCAGACCAGAAGTACCACAAGGCTCTATGTTTGGAGCAAGGGGGGGGAAACAGAACATGCAGGAAACAGGAACATGACAAATACCAGTTCAAATATTTTTAAAAGAATACCCTGGGGAAACAGAATAGCTGTCCTTCGCATACATGAGGTTTGTAAGCTTAACTACAGCAAGCAAAATGTCTAGTTTCATATTCAATAAATGCTAGTGCTGAGCAAAGAGCTGGAGCGTGAAGGAGGCCTGAGAACAAGTTAAACATCTTTTAAGAATCACATTAGATGGGTGTGATATCAGAGGGACTCAAACCTACAGACTTTACAGCCCTCCTTTTCTAAGGACTACCCTAATTTCAAGGTACCATAATGTCTTTGCTTATTCACTTACCAGATACTCAAATTGTCCAAACTGCTGCTTTTAAGATCCTAGAGCCTGACATTTGTACATGTCAGGTTAGTTGTTCAGGTTAGTGCACAGCAAAAGGAAAACAGTCACAGCTGCCACATTGTTCCTACAGATCTAAGTCAATCCAAATAATCTCTCATGGAAATAAGTAATTTTCTAGCAACACTGCATGCAGAATATGTCCCTTCTGACCACCACTTTCTTGTGCATGTCCCAGGCCTAAAACAAGCACTTGGCAAGCGATGCAGTGGTTTCCACTGGTGCAGCATCCCATCTCCTCATAAAAATACACTCACTATGACTACAGCCCTCAAGTTCTTTAGAACTCCCCATGGCAGTAAATGAAACCCTCCAGAACGAAAACATAGCCTAGATTTTACAGATGGAGAGTTGAAGCAGAGGGTACTGGCTGCGTTCAGTCACAGGGAAGTCTTCAGCTGAGAGAACAGAAGTTCACATTTAAGCTGTAAAAATCTAGAGCCTCTCAAATGCAGAACAAACTCTCAGGAACAGTTTAAGCACAAAAATCATGCACTAGTTAGAAACAAGCAGTTATAGAGAAAGAAAAGCCTCAGCTTTCCAGGGATGGCTCTGATTTGTTATAAAAGTCAGTTCAGCAATTTCAATATTGAACCAGACAGCTCTGCTCAGGACATAGTGATAATGGAAGGCTATGAGATAAGCAAGGACACACGTATCCAAGGGGATAACCACACGTACCGAGACGTGAACAAGCTAAACCTCATCCATGCTTTTCAGTAACAGCAGGATCTTCTTCCCAAAAGCAACTTTGCCATTAAATCTTATCTTTCAACAGCCCCTTGCAGCAAGGGACAGCACTTCAGTTTAAGCTCCCAAGATTGATAGGCCTCTCAGGCTCATCAAGCCTCAACTTTGTTTAAAAATATCAAAAATGAAACAATCACAAAGAGATAAGGCTCTGAGTTCTCATTCCTTTCCCCTCTCGTGCTACTTTGCAAAAGAAAAAGAAAAAGAAATTGCAAAAAGCATTTGCATACTTGCAATTGCATACTTGCAAAAAAACCTGCATACTTTAGCCAATTTACATAAATAGATATTTGAGGGTGTTTTTGTTACTTTCCCCACTAAATAATGCATCAAATTAAACTCTGGAGCACAGTAGTAGTCTACACCCTACTACATTCAATTCATTTAATTCCAAAAGGACATAATGAATAATTATTTGCCACTATATTAGATTGACATAATTAAGCCAAAAGGTTTCTGGTTCAGGATTGTACTATTTAATTGTCCTTCATCAAAAGGCTACCTGGCCATACAAATAAATTCTAGGTGCCTTAGCACCTAGATCAAAAAAAAAGCCCACACACACTGCAAAGCACAGAACAGAAGCCTCCTATGTTATGAAAGCAAAGCTGGCTCACACAGTGATATAAGAGGCACCTGCAACCTCCGCAGCC